AGGCAGTCACACTTTGCTTCTTCTGTGCCTGGGCCAGGACTGCAGACCAAGCTTTCCTCTTCCCAGAAGTCTCCTGTTCTCTTTGACCCGCCTCTACTTCTTGTCTGGTTGTCCCGCTCTACTTGCTGCCTGGCTACTAGCCAATCAGCATTTATTTAAAATATAATTGACAGAATACAGACCATTGTCCCACGCCATATCTCTGTGAGTTTGAGACCAACCTGGTTTACAGAGCAAGTTCCAAGACAAGCTCTAAAGTTACACAGAAAAACCCTGTCCTGAGAAACCAAGCAGCCAACCAACCAATCAAACAAAACCAAAAATCACAAAAAAAGATAGATTAATTTATACTTGGTTTCTGGCAAAGTTAGTGTTGATTATAATCTACTTCTTGTTTTTGTTTTTTTTTTTGTTTTGTTTTGTTTTTTTTTTGTTTGTTTGTTTTTTTCAAGACAGGGTTTCTCTGTGGCTTTGGAGCCTGTCCTGGAACTAGCTCTTGTAGACCAGGCTGGTCTCGAACTCACAGAGATCCGCCTGCCTCTGCCTCCCGAGTGCTGGGATTAAAGGCGTGCGCCACCACCGCCCGGCTCTACTTCTTATAATTCTGTAAAACAACCAGGTAATTTTCCCCTTCCAGCATTGAATATACTAAATAAAAAGTCCTATAAAATGGTGAGATTACAAAGTTCTATAAGACAAAGCCAGGGCAAACCTTATTTTCTTCCAACTTAGAATTTAAATTTTTATATCAGAAAAAAAATCAATGAGCTCTGATTTTGCACTTTGAAGTTCAAGAATGTGCTGTTACTTTAAGGAAAGTCAATGTATATTTATTATTCAGTTTGTGTTTATAGTATATACAAGCTTAATTCTATGGAAAGTAGAAAGAAGTAGAAATCAACCTGGTTTTAGAAATAACAAAAATTATCCTGTGATTTGATGTTACCATTTATGATGAAATGATAAATATATAAATATTATAGGAAAATCAAGTATTTATATTTTTCTATCAGGAGAAAATTGTGCCTATATAATAGACTTTTGTTTAGGTGGCAACAAGTAGTCCACCAGCTTTTAGAAAATTTAAAATGTGTGAAGCAGAAAACTGCCACAGTGTACCACATTGTGCTGGTTCCTCAGCAGGAAGGGGTCAGCATCTTATGACTCTCTGCTCTGATTCTTCATGTTTTCATGGGTCACTACTCTCTTGTTCTTGAAGGCACTGAGTCATATACTATCTAGGAGTTGAGTCATGTAAGAGGTGAAGTTATTACTGCATTGCAGAAGACTTATTTCTACCAGTTGTCACAATGATGTGGCTGTTAGAGCAAATGAAGAATTGATCTTGATTGCACTTACTCAGTGGAGACTCATTTCCTCCTCTTTATAGTATGGTATCAAATGAAAGTGAATATACGATTAAGCTATAATCATCTTTGATTTTCACATAAGGTCTAAGAAGTTACTTTCTTTGTCCTGTGTTAGAAGTGTGATTCCAAGGTTCCTACTCTGATAAAAGCTGCAAGAGATTCCATCAGTCCTTGTGCTAATACTTGCTGGAAATCATTGATTTACTTATTTTTTTTTTTAAATTTAGATAGTCTGTCTCTGTCTCTCTCTCTCTTTCACACACACACATCTTGATATATGTTGCTTATCTTCTTTCCCAAGCCTTCTCATCTGCATTAACCATGCCTCATCCCTAACATTTTTCTTTTGAAAATTTATGACTTTTAGGTTTGTTGTGTCAAGCACAGAAGTTTGACCAGAGCCATCCATGTGACCATTGGATTGGAAAAGTCTATTGTAGCCTTTGCCTACACAAATAAAAGCAGTAACGTATCTCTCCTTGAATCACCCTAGTCCAAAACATTCATCCGTTAAGGCTAGGGCCCATGAACCCCTCCTCCATTCATACTTAAGTGTTGACAGGCACATGAACAGGCTTTTTTGAAAGGCAAACTAAGTAATTAGTTTTTTTTAGTAACTCATTAAGAATATTTTTTTACTTTGTTCTTTTTTAGAAAAATTTTAAAAGTTATTTGTATTGCTTAACCTCCAAATTGAATGCTTCTCTAAAAACTATATCATGTTTGGGAAGATAAGATTGTTGATATGTATTCAAAACTTGTTCTTATGGAAATATTTCATCTTGCAGCTCTTTGTAAAACAAAGATCACTGAGCAGTAACTAGTATTAATCAAAAGACCCAGTGTTTAGATAAAGCAGTGTTCTACACTGTCTCTTGAGATTGTTTCTCAGATTTTTTTGTTATTGTTGATTTTTTTTAATGAAGGCTCTTGAATTCCTGTATATTCTTATAATCTGTAATAAGTATTATTTTATGTCTTCAAATTTAAGTACTTTTTATTTTCTTTTTCTTGTGTAATTGCTCTGGCTATGGTCTGAAATAATCATGTTAGGTAGTAGGGCCTATAGTGGGCTTGATCTTAAAAAAACAATATTCCAAATTTTGAGTGTTGTGTGTAAAGTTAGTGGAGGGTTTTCCATATATGGTCTTTATTATATTGAGCTAATTTCCTTCTATTCTTGGTTTGTCAGTGGCTTTTAATCATGAAAAGTGCTGAATTGTAGTTATAGGCTTTTTCTTTCTCTATTGAGATAATCAGGTGACATTATCCTCTATTCTGCTAAGGGTGTACATCACATCAATTTATTTTATGTGTTGAATTATCTTTTCATCTTAGAAATAAGTTACATTTGGTCATAATGTATGGTTTTTTGAATGTGCTATCGAATTTGGTTTGCTGGCCTTTTGTTGAAGAATTATGCGTCCACATTCATCAGAGATATGATTGGTAGTTTTATTGTCTGTGGTGCTTGGGTCGGGCTTTTGTATCGGAATAGTAATGCTCACTAATAAAATGTATTTGGAAGCGTTCCCTCCTCTTGAACTTTTTGGAACAGCTTGAGAAGAATTGCTATTAATTCTTTAAATGTCTGGTTGAGTTCACTAGTGAAGCCATCTGTTCCTGGGGCTTTCATTGTTTGGAGGTTTGATTACTGACTCCTTCTCTAGACTCCTCTATGCAGTCTCTTTGCTTCATCACTCCATTTTGAAACATACTTAGATCATTGGAGTGCATTGTTAGAGATGATCATTCTGGTCGTTTTTCTATTTTTACCAGTTAGCAATGTTTTAAATTAAATAACTAAAAACAACAAAGGGGAGAACAGAAATTCTGTAGTATACTCAGCAACCATTTCTTGAAGTAAGATTAAAATAATCAATATCAGATTATTTCATCATTGTTAAGATCATTAACAGGTAAAGTGTCCGCACCACTGTCAAGGCAAGGAATAATTTCAGTTGTTTGCGGGATTTTTTTTAGAGCATTACGGATGAATTCCGGAGATCATCTAATCTTATAAAGAATGTTCCTTGCACTCTGTTGGTCCATATTCTCTGTTTGGCTTCAGAAGATACTTAGATCTTTTCATTTGTTTTATCTTCTGGTACCTCTTTTTAGGTAAAGCTCTTTGGCATTTACTACCACAGACGACTTCCTGGAAATCAGCTAATATCTGGATATGCTTTTGTGTGACTATCAGGTCTTACTTCAAACCTAGAAAGAATGACAGAGCTATGCATACATAGTGAATGCATCTAGTCTTTAAATTGACAAAAAAAAAAAATGTCATTTTGGTGGTTTGCAAAGTGTGTGCACATGTTTAATAACGCAAACTACAGAAGTTGTAAGACTTACTTAAAAATCTAATGATGCCGATTTGGCCAGAAGTTGGGGTAGCTTGGAAAATATCAAGCAAAACAACTTTATCAAGGGACAAATTAGTGTTTGAGGCTGGTGTTAATTGGCAGCCAAGGTGTTTCATTAGGAGGCTGAATTTTTAACAGTTGTTACTTGGTTACAACGAAAACACCAGCCAGAAGAAAATGCGGCAGTGTAAAGGATCTGTCTCCCATTTCAGCCAATCCCTTTGCCAATGTGTCAACAACGTGCATCCTGTTTTAAAGCAGTCGTGTGGTGCCTAGAGACTGTGTCTATGCTGACAGTTCATGGTGTCATCTACATTGGAGGCATACTTAGTAATGAATGGGTTCAGGCACGATCACTTTCAAACTGCAGGTGTTGTATTTTTCTATTTTGCTGCTTTCTCTGCTTGAATGAAACCCAAGGCTTTCCTGGGAGAGCTGTTTTCTCTTTGTAACCTACCACATAAAGGAAACCACAGGGAATATATAAATGGTAGCTACAGAGATTATTCTTCTGGATGCAGCAATGCGAAACGCATTGCCTTGTCTCTATGAGTTGATGTGTACATACGGCGACTCTGTAAAGAAAACAGAAACACCTCAGGGCCATAGGTAGTGATGTCCAACTGTTTACTCTCTTCGTGAATGGTAAACAGTGTTAAGGTTTCACACCATGCAACATACTCAGAGTACCTTGACAGTATGAGGGCTTTGATACTTTCCCCTTTCTGACATTTTCATAGCTGTTTGGGGATAGAAGAGGAGGTGAAAAGAAGAAAAAGGAAGGAAAAAAAAGGTGTTTGCTCCCTGAGTCCTCATACTGTAGGCCAGAAATCCCTGTCACCTCCTCATCTTTTCAGTCTCTTCTGTGGTCAGCATCAGCTTCTATCGGGATGGGCAAAAGCAAACCATTTTCTGTATAGGATGCAAACTTGTTGGTTTAAATTATGTGCCACTAGTTCCTCAACCAAATCGTTTAATTATGATAATAGTCTTGCTGGAGCCTCTGCTGTCGATTCTAAGCAAGCATGACTCTATTTGTTGCCCTTCAAAGGAAGACAACTATGGGCTTGCAAAGTCTCAGTGAGGGATTTATAGAAAAATAATGAATGCTTCTGCTGTAGCATGTCACAGGGGAGGCTGGGACAATAGTGATCTCATGCACACTGCTGTTCCTTGCTTGCTGGGCAGCATGTACACCTGGATTTCTGACAGCTATACAGGTCCACTAGAGACTTCTGCCTTTCTGTTCATCCCCTCACAGGCGATGGTCGAGACAGTTAACAACCTCCTTCAGCCGCAAGCTTTGAATGCCTGGAGAGACCTGACAACAAGCGACCAACTCCGTGCAGCTACCATGTTGCTCGACACGGTGGAGGAGAGTGCTTTCGTGTTAGCCGATAACCTTTTGAAGACCGACATTGTCAGGGAAAATACAGACAATATTCGTAAGTGACCTTTGCCAAGACAGAAGGTCTAGAGTGGGTTGCATAGCAGAAAAAGGATTTAAAAAAAAAAAAAATCTGATGCCCCAATCATGAGCCGTGCTTTGGTTTGCTGGATGTGTTATTCTATTTCTCAAATAGCTTTCAGTTTAACAGGAACAGAATTCATGCATGTTAACCTCTGTAGGGCATTTCAAAATGAGAGCACATCCGTGAGGTTTATTAGTTGAACTTTTATGTAGGCATGTATGTATGTAGATTTTATATTGTTTACTATTCTGACCTCCTAATGTCAGGATTACCTGTCTTGAGTTATGTCCTATAAGAAACAAGTCATTTGAGTGATGATGTTAATGTTTGGAAATGGTATCATCCCTTCCTATAAATCTGTTTTTATTGTGTTTTAGGATGTAGCTAACAATTTTATTTCAGAAGATTTGATTAAGCTCTTTCAAATTTTATTAGGTTTGTAGATAGATCAATACAGATGTGACAGTACATCTCTGGAGTACAGAGGATTTGTACATAATTCATGGAATAGGGATAATATCTTGAAAATTAACTTAAAAGCAAAGACAACATGTAAATACTTGGATTAGAATTTTAAATATTACTTTGAGTATCATACATTTGTATTATTTACGTAATTTTTGCACATCCTTGATGATTTTACTTTTTAAAGAAAACGACAATACTAACCATATCCTTGCATACAAATTAAGCAACTTCAACATGACAAAAAAACCAAGGACCCTGAAATTGCGAATATAGAAATAGTTTAGTAGTTAAGGAGATTCTTGTAGCTTTGCCAGATCCCTCATAGGACGCTGACACCTCTCTGTTGTGAACAGAACTAGAAGTTGCACGGCTGAGCACAGAAGGGAACCTAGAGGACCTGAAATTTCCCGAAAACATGGGCCATGGAAGTACCGTCCAGCTCTCAGCAAACACTTTAAAGCAAAATGGCCGGAACGGTAGGCTGGAGTTTGTTTTTGTGCTCACTGCTGTTTCCAGTCTATTCACTTGCTTTTAAATCTGTCATGTAAGAGTTCTTTTACCCCTTCTCTCTCCCTTTTCCTCTTCTTCTTGTCTACAGGGCCATCAATATAACAGTGATATACATTGAATAAAATTCTCTGTTATATTCTATCTCTTGTTGGTTGTTAGAAACTTGAATATGTAGAAAATTCTGAACCCCAAAACTCAAATTTTCTGCCAAGTTCTGCCCCCATCCCCCAGGAGTAACAGTCATTGAGTTTGAAGATTTAACAGATGAAAATTCGTTGCGAATTTTCCTTGTTATTTTTTAAAACTACAAGCTTTCGAGTTTTCTTCAGGTTTTTATAAATGTATCTGTATTTTTCTTTTGTAAAACATACAGAAAAGTTAACTAACTATAATGAGGGCTTCGAGGGGATGGGACTAAGATATGTAGATCAGATTAAGTAACTGTTAAATCGAGTTCACTCAAAAAATAATAAAGTACAATATATAAGTAACCTCATGGAAAAAGCATATTCCTAACTTCACAAATCTTTGTCACAAAAGCAGGAAAACCCTTGAGCTTGTTAAGTGATGTGGAGATGACATGAGGTTAGTGTAACCCATTCAGAACCGCTCTTTCATATAGGCAGAATAGCTCCAAAAAAGGATCTCCTTAATATTAGCAATTGTTTAAATTTTCTGTCATCCGAATATAATGTTGTCAAAACCTTTAAAATCATTTATGAGTAATAAATCATTAGAGTCTCAGGAACTGGACTAAGGAAATGTTTGAGGAAGCAGTAAGATTGTGAGCAGTGAAAAGAGACATTTGTATCCACTTCCTAGCTGGTTCAGTAAATTCTGCTCTCTGCAACAGTATTTCCCTCTGAGAAAGAGTCCTGTCCAGATGGAAATCTCACCAGTTCACTTCCAAGAATGAAGCTCAATTACCAAGGGAGGCCTACAGCTGCCTGTCTTGTGCATCCTGTCTTATTTGACCCACTTTACATTTTTTTATTCAGCATGACCATGATCCATGCTAAATAGTTTTAATTATGTTCCTCATCAAAATGGCATGATTCAGCGACAGGGTTTGCTGTACACAGCAGCCTCTCTATCATTTGAGTCTACCTCCCTTTTATTGAAAATAGCTTTTTCTCTCCCCTCATTCTTATTAAGAGTTCCCCTCCTTCTACTCCTCCCAACACCCCCATATCCAGATCTATGCCCCTTTCTGTTACTTATTAAAAAAACAAACAGGCTCTTAAGGGATAATAATAAAATAAAAAATAAGATAAAACATAAAAAGAGGACAAAACAAACAGAGGAATGGGGCTTAAGTAAGGGTACAAGGGACCCACTTAATTGCACACTCAGGAATCCAATACAAACCCTAAACTGGAAGCCATCATATATATACAAAGGACATGTAAGGTAAAAAAAAAAAAAGAAACATATATAAATAAAAGTTAAAAAAAGATAAAAATTAACAAGAAAATAGCTTCTGATGTGAAATTTTGAGTCAAGAAACATCCAGTGCTTGCTGTTGCGTTCATTTTCTGCTGGCCAGCTTCTACCAGGTATGGCAGTCTGCCCTTAAGAGTAGTTTATTTCCCCAGTGAAACTGCCTTGGGAAAAAACTAAAATTTCGTTTGCAAATGGTTATCAGTTGGAGGTAGTTTCGGCACAGGGATGGTGTCATCTGTCCATTTCTCCTCTAGCGCAGACCACTGCAGGCCTTGTGCGCGCTGCCTCAGTTTCTGGGGGTTCATATGAGCTTTGCTCATGCTGATTTAGAGGACCTTGTTTTAGTGGTGTTCTCCATCCTCTCTGGCTTTTACTCTCTTTCCACCTCCTCTTCTGTGTGATTCCCTGAGCCCTGAGGGGAGGAATTTGATGGAGACATCCCATTTAGGGCTGCTGAGTCTCTAAGATCTCACTACCTGCATATTGTTCACCTATGAGTCTCAGTATCTGTTCCCATCTGCTGAGTGAAGAAACTTCTCTGAGGACGATTGGGCAACGCACATCATTTGACTCTAAAAAGGAAATCTACCTTTTAGTGGAAACTCTTCTCTTAGGTGGATCACTGGTTCTCAACCCTCTCCCCTCAGCCATACTTAAGACAATATTGCTTCAAATCAGTTTTTTTTTTCTTTTCTTTGTTTTGTTTTGTTTTACTACCTGTCTGCTTATTGTCCTACTCCTTCCAGGCAGTAAGTTCCTCAAGATCAGGGGCCATGTCTGATGTCATCACCCTGGTAGCCATAGTATTGTAAACAAGACATGGCAAAGCAAATGAATTTACAAAGATGATACTGAATAACTGGATAGACTTTCTAACAGGATGCTATAGAGGACATAAATATGTCTACATTAGCTATATCGAGTGGCTTGCTTATTTTATGGATTGCATTGGTGTGCAAGGTTTTCATCTTAAGCCCCATCAAGTCACTTTGGTGTGAATATTCGGTAACAATTATGTGAAATTACCTGCAGTGATGAACAAGTTGGAATGACAACATGCCACTGAGCATTATGTGGAGTTGTTATGACTTATTATCTGACTATGAGCCAATTGTAATAAAAGTCACTAATATCAAGAAGAAAAATGCTTGGATAAAAATTAAATGTAGCCATCAAGCATCATAAATTTTATCCTAAATATAGAAGAAAAATTAGTTTTTTTCTACTGTAACAGATAAGTATTTAATGAGGAAATATTATTTAGATTTGGTATCTTAAGAGATAAAGGTGAGATAAGAATCCTCTCAGATGTAATAGCAAGCAAGATAAAATCTAAGTAATGGAATTTTCAATGACTGCTCTGCCGTGTGATAGTGTGTCCTAATTTATTGAAATTAGTTATAGATAAGATTTTTTTTTAAAGAATCCTCTCTTCCTTCATGGCATCTTCATTGCAATCTGTTTAGATTACTGAAATGACAATGGATGCCATCAGATTGCATCCTGCTACATCACGTGACAACATCTGGAATATCTCTGGGTGCGGGAACACTGCAGCTGCAGCTGCTGGCATCTCTGCCTTCTGCAGTGTGGGTCACTGGCCCCTGTCTGAGTATGAGGTCATTGCATCTGATTGGATGTGTCTGACTGGACTGCCCAAAGAATCTGTTTGCATGGCTAGGTGCAAAAAAACCACCCTTTCTCTACTTTGTGTATTTAAATTCCTAAGAGCAAGGAATTTCATAAATATATACGTACAGCTGAGGTACAAGACAGTTAGGATTATACCTCTTTAAATGCCCCCCCATATAAATACGTCTCATTTGACCTAGTGTTCTCTCTCTGTTTGACCTTAAAATTCAATTCATAGACGCTTTGTCTTTCCGATCTTTTTAGTTGTACTAGTCAGAGTATCATTGGTTTCTTGGCAAATTATGACCTTATAGTAGAAACAAGACATAGGGTTTGACATTGGGCATGGGAAAATGATAAAAATTAAAATATGACAAAAGGAAAAGGAAGTAGTTAGCTTTAAAAACTACTATAAGAGATTACTACAAAGGGGAATAAGGTGAAAGAGCTTTATGACTTTGTAGAAATAGTGACCTGAAAAGAAAATGATTATTAAGTTCTTGGGCAAATAAAAGAATAGCATTCTTATTTTAAAAAATCATATTGCAAGCTGGAAAGTGATGGTGCACACCTATAATCCCAGCACCGAGGAGACAGAGGCAGGTGGATCTCTGTGAGTTTGAGACCAGCCTGGTCTACAGAGTGAGTTCCAGGACAGTCAAAGCTACACAGAGAAACCCTATCTGGAAAAGAAAATAAAGTAAAAGAATCCCATTGAAATGTGATTAAACACAATGAATTACATACAGAGTGAATGTTTGAGAAATTGACAGTTGTATTTACCTCTATAAATAAGACATAAAATACAAAGAAAACCAACCAGAAACTAAATGTTTCCTATATATTTCCATGGTGTTTCTCACTGTTCCTTGATTCTCTTTTCTTCTCCTAATGAAACATGCTTATTATTAGTCTGTTCTTAGATGTCTTTTATCCAGAATCACTTATTGTGACCTATTTTCTATTTAGATTAAGTAATCCAAAATATTGCTTGGATATTCAGTCATGATTTGCCATTAACTAGTATTTTGTGTTGTATTGACGCATAGTATATTCTATTAATGTAATACATTTATTCTACTATTTGATTTCTTTCAAGAGAGAGGCTATGATCAATAAGGATTCTGTAAAAAAAGCCTCATACAAATTGTTTTCTTTGTGGTAAATGTTCTCACTTATCCAGGAAGGGCCAATATGTATGCAGTTTTATAAAATGTGTCAAAATCTTTCCAAGTCACTGAAATATTTTATATTCCCATCAAGAGTGTATAAGAGTCCAAGTCCAAGACTGTAGAAATATTAGTATCCACAGCATGAAAAATAATATTACAAATGTAGTTTTTTCTTTCCTTAATTGCTAATGATTTCATATATAAAATGGTTTTTGTTATATTCTTTTCTAAAGTGCCCATTAATGTCTTTTGGTTGTTTACAGTATCTTCTGTCATCGTACTGTTGACCGGCATGGATGTTCTGATTATTCAAACAGAATAATGTTGTCATTTTCCTATTGTTCCCTAGTCTGTAGTGGGCATATTTGTTTTCTTAATGACATATTTTAATAGGTTCATAATTTTAATTTTGATGAAGTTCAGTTTTCCTTTTATGGATAGGTTTTGAGGCTATGTGCACTATTTTATCTTCTTCAAGGTAGAAGCAGATTATCTTACATTTTGTTTTAGAACCTTTATGATTCTGGATTCTGGTTTGGGGTCTATGAAACATCTTAAATTCAGCTTCAAGTATACAGTGAGACAGTGCTTGAGATTCAGTGTTTAAAGAAGTGATATATAATGATCTCAAAAGAATTCAATTTCCCTTTCCTCATCAGTGACTTCGTACTTTGGTATCAAGCAACTTTGATTTTATATCCGTGAATGTGTTTTATACAGTTTTGACTACTACCTAATCAGAATTGCAAATTCTAGTAAGAAGTGAAAACTAATCAGTTTCTTCAAATTTCTAATTCACATTTGCATTTATTTTAGGGGAGATTAGAGTAGCCTTTGTCCTGTATAACAACCTGGGCCCTTATTTGTCTACGGAGAATGCCAGTATGAAGTTGGGCACAGAAGCCATGTCCACAAATCATTCTGTTATCGTCAATTCCCCTGTTATTACAGCAGCAATAAATAAGGAGTTCAGTAATAAAGTTTATTTGGCCGATCCTGTGGTATTTACTGTTAAACATATCAAGGTAAGAAAATGACATGTCGTGTTTCATTTTCTATATTTTTTATATTTGTTATAGAATAAATATTAAATCTATTAATTTTCTTTTAATATTTTTTTGTTTGTCTGACATAGTATATCATTCAAGAATATAGTCATGATTGTTTTCATAAATAATCAGAAAGATATATAAAACTGATCTCTATATGAAATGGTGATATGTTAATTTTTCCATAGTAAAATTTTTGCATCTAGATGTAATATCAATACAATATTATATACTCTAAATATGAACTACACAGTTCTTAAGAGCTTGCAATTCACTTAATTTAACTGAGCTGCAACACTTCAATACTATTATAAGCAATCATGTCTGTGTGTGAAGATATATTTTTGCATATATACAAATCTAGAAGTTGTAAATGTTATAAAGATTTGTAAACACCATTCTTTTAGAAGTTTTTACCCCCAACAGTTGGCTTCTTTACTTTGAAATTTAAAAACCAGTACAGTCCTAAAACATTGCTAGTAACATAGTTTTGGTACCATCCATGTTGAAAAAAAATAATCTCACTTCTAATCAGACACAACAAATAACAGCTCTTCAATTTCATTCCAAATTGATAAGGGCCACTTAATATGAAAATACCAAACACACCTCTGTAAGGATTACAACGTAGCATGAGGCTGTGCTGTGGGCAAAGAAAATGCCTACTTCATTTGCTCGACCATAAAATAGTTATTGCCTTTATTGATCTTTTTCCACCGTAGCAGTCAGAGGAAAATTTCAACCCTAACTGTTCATTTTGGAGCTATTCCAAGCGCACAATGACAGGTTATTGGTCAACACAAGGCTGTCGACTCCTGACTACAAACAAGACACATACTACATGCTCCTGTAACCACCTCACTAACTTTGCAGTATTGATGGCGCATGTGGAAGTTAAGGTAAGATATACCACAAAGCAGGACTATTCTAGCATGTATTCAGACTGCTAACTTTAAATATTCCTGATATTTTTCCCCTAGTAATTTTAGCCAGGAACTCTGGCATTCATGACATATCCTTTTGGGTGATTCAAATCACTGCTTCTTTCTTTTTCCACTGTCAATATAAAAAAAAAATTCGAAGTTTGCTCAATAAATTTCTCTGTAGCCTCCCTGCTTTCAATTTTGGGCAAATGAATGCTATACTGTCATCTTATGAACAGGGTAAGTTAGAACTGGGATGATGGAAGCTGGGATTGGCTACATAGAAGATTAAAGAACTATACATAGATTAAATACTATCAAACTGATTCCTGGAAAAACAACAAATAAGTGTGACCCATAGATCCCAGTGGTGTGGAGGGATTAGCATACTGTTTTTTTTTATTTATTTATTAAAGATTTCTGTCTCTTCTCCCACCGCTTCCCACTTCCCTCCCCCTCCCCTAACCAAGTCCCCCTCCCTCTCCAGTCCAAAGAGCAGTCAGTGTTCCTTGCCCTGTGGGCAGTCCAAGGTCCTCCCACCTCCATCCAGGTTTAGGAAAGTGAGCATCCAAACTGCCTAGGCTCCCACAAAGCCAGTATGTGCAGTAAAATCAAAAACCCATTGCCATTGTTCTTGAGTTCTCAGTAGTCCTCATTGTCCGCTATGTTCAGTGAGTCTGGTTTTATCCCAGGCTTTTTCAGACCCAGCCAGCAGCTGGCCTTGGTGAGTTCCCAGTAGAACATCCCCATTGTCTCAGTGTGTGGGTGCACCCCTCGCGGTCCTGAGTTCCTTGCTCGTACACTCTCTCCTTCTGCTCCTGATTTGGACCTTGAGATTTCTGTCTGGTGCTCCAATGTGGGTCTCTGTCTCTGTCTCCTTTCATCGCCTGATGAAGGTTAATATTCAGGAGGATGCCTATATGTTTTTCTTTGGGTTCTCCTTATTTAGTTTCTCTAGGATCACGAATTATAGGCTCAATGTCCTTTATTTATGGCTAAAAACCAAATATGAGTGAGTACATCCCCTGTTCCTCTTTTTGGGTCTGGCTTACCTCACTCAGGATAGTGTTTTCTATTTCCATCCATTTGCATGCAAAATTCAAGAAGTCCTTGTTTTTTACTGCTGAGTAGTACTCTAATATGTATATATTCCATACTTTCTTTATCCATTCTTCCATTGAAGGGCATCTAGGTTGTTTCCAGGTTCTGGCTATTACAAATAATGCTGCTATGAACATAGTAGAGCATATACTTTTGTTTTATGATAAGGCCTCTCTTGGGTGTATTCCCAAGAGTGGTATTGCTGGGTCCAGGGGTAGGTTGATCCCGAATTTCCTGAGAAACTGCCAAACTGCTTTCCAAAGTGGTTGCACAAGTTTGCATTTCCACCAGCAATGGATGAGTGTACCCCTTTCTCCACAGCCTCTCCAGCATAAGTTATCATTGGCGGCCATGGATTAGCATATTGTAATACAGAGCAATGCACATTCCATTCTAAGGAAGAGTTCAGGTGCTTGATAGTTTTCACAGTCAAAAACTGGCTAAGTTGGCTGCTTCTGTTTTTTTTTTTTTTCTTCTGGAATGACAGGATTTTATACACATAGAGGGTTAAGAGAACATGGATTTTCAATGAAAGAGAAGGCTGAGTAGGCTTTAGAGTATCTTCAAACACAGGAGAACTGTCAAGGGTTGAACTATAATATAGTTTGTATCCAGAAGTCCTAGGTCAACATATTTAGAGATTGGATAGGTCTGCTTTTTTAAAGCAAGATAATTTGAGAATGAATAGGAATGCTGGTGTCTTGCTCCTCTAAAAAACATTTGGCCAGCCCCAATATCTGAGTTGATTCCTATTGTGGATCATTATCAATAGTTGTAAGGAAAAAAGACCTAGCTTATATGGTTTATATGACTTAAAATATATTTAAAAATGGGCAGTATTCTGAAACAATATCCAGTGAAAAGAATATACAATTATATTCATGAACCAAATGAATATTTAAAGTGTTAGTTTACAACCAATAATTTTCTTCAAATATATTATGTATTAAATGTAATAATGATAGTTAGTATTAAAGTTATTAATCTCATATAAATCACATTATATAGTATATAATCTTTACTTTAATATTTTGAAGGTTTTTTTTTTTTACTTTTGTTTTACTGAATTTTTTTAATGTATGTATATCTGTGCACCACATGTGTTTAGTACCCACAGAGCCCGGAGGAAGCCTCAAGGTTATAGCTGTTTCTTAGCTGGGATATAGGTGCTGTGAGTTGAACCTTGGTTGTCTGGAAGATCTGTAGGCATTCTTAACAAATGAGCCATTTCTTCAGCCTATATTAGATAATCTTATGTAGTTAACATAATATTTTTATTAGAGTGAGATATAAATTATGTCAACATTTAATCATTTGTTTTCATAGGATATCACATTATAGTACCCGTCTAATTTTTTAATAGACATTGAAAATTTAAAAGCATGAGTACTTAAAACCTAAATTGGCTTTGACAATAACTGAATGTTCCTTCATAAATTTTCATTAAATTTTTCTATTATATAAATAATATTACTTACTATGCAACTTTAAGAATTGATAGATGATACATTTTGAGACAAATTACTTTATAAGTTGAATACAATTTGAAAGAATACATATAATAACCAGTTTAACTGTTCAATCAAGAACAGCTTTGTTGATATTTAATGTATAAAAGAAAAAGATAAATTCTATATTTAAGAATTTGAATTTTCATGGAGAAAGCAGAAGCAAATAGTTACATCACAGTAAGAAGGAGATTCGAATGAAGCTTTTGCAGTGTTTTTTGGAAAAATTGAATATATAAAGGCAGAAAAAATTGCTAGCTTGGAGGTGGTGGTTATAAGATTTCCATTAAGAAATTAAGAATTTATTGGAAAAGTTGTAAAGAATGTCCCAATTAGATAAAGTATATAAACAAAATGACAAGGAAGTTAAATAGATGTTTGAAAATGCAATGAAAAATTTAAGATTACTGCACCATGTATAGAGCTTGACTGACCAGCAATTGAAGATGGTGACTTCAGTAGGACTATAGCTTAACACCTATAGGCTAGGACTGGAATCTGAGAACACCCTCACATGTGGCATGACCTACGTGTCTCAATATTTACAAGCAATACGCCACGTTGGGAAACACGGAGCACATACTGATTTACAAAACTTAGGTGTAATGACAAGGGGACACAAAATCTGAACTTAGAAATCTTACAATTACCAGAGTGCTGCTGGAATGTGACAGTTGCCTTGGCGGGGTGCATCATGCAGTGGTACCCAGTGAGTGATCTACTTTACCTTCTACAAGTCTGAGACCTCATCTAGGGTTTGGAGGATACATGAAAAACTAATCTACAAGCAATTTCATCACTATTACCTTTCTAGAAGTCAATGGCAATGGAACGTTTTGCATTTTACGTAGATGATTCTCGATCCCACAGGAGTGACAGATGTGGAACCTGCAATGCCCACATAGTGGCACATAGTTCAATAGTAAAGAAAGACTATCACCCTAGCAGGCGTGAAAGAAATTTGTATTCCAGATAGACTTAGCACATAAAAACATACATAAAGCTTGTTATCTCAGTTATGTATTCTAATAGATGAATTAGCAACAAGAATTTAGATACTTGTGAATTTTCACCTCTCTGGCATTAGTAAAAGTGGAACAGTGATGAATATTCAACACATTTTAGAAATTGAAAACTCTAATACAGGGTTTGCCTGCCTTATTCCTGTGATGCAAGTCATTTGCTGCTGCATAGTTTGGCCTCTCTCTCTCTCTCTCTCTCTCTCTCTCTCTGTGTGTGTGTGTGTGTGTGTGTGTGTGTGTTGGGGGGGTTACAATTTAGAAAAAAATGGTACAGGTATTCTTGAAGAAGACTATATCCGCTGGCAACATAAAATTATTTTTGCTGTTTCAACACAGTTAAAATTCTGGTCTTCAAAGGACTATAAAGCCAATTTTGTCAAAGCATTTCAAGCTGATTGAAGTCAGCAAGATTGACCACATTGACAAATGATAGATTTAATTCTGGAATGTGTTAGTTAGGTTCTTGGCTCCTACATTTCTACCAGCCAAGACATTGAACTCTGAAAAATGGATCAAATTTAGACAACCACTAAATATCATTTTGTTTGGCTCAGTTCATTTCCTAACAGCCCTTCTTCAACCCATTTTAAAAGGATCATGACTGTGACCACTATTGTGTGTCAACAAGAGACAAAATAAATGGAAATCGATACTTTCCTTTACCAATCACTCACACAGAATGCTTCACGTGTATCTTGTATTGCAGTCTCTAGTAATTACCACAGTCAGCTCCATTTTGATCCTGGAACATGAGTTTGGCACTTTGAGGATTAAAAAGGAACTGATAGAACTGGGCCTAGTCATCACTAAAATTTGAAAATGAAATATGTTAACATATTTCCATTAAACTTCTGTTTGAAATAGAGCAATAATTTATTAACACATAATGAGAGATACAGCAACCAGTTAGAATAGATACATGTATGTACACTAGTTACCTTCCTTTTATCTATACAATAAACCTCGATAAAGGAAGGAACATTATATCAAATAATTTTTTGACAACTTTGGAAAGAAAGGAAGAATTGCTAGGATAATCTTGCTACCTGTTGACATCAAATCTTGGCATCTATTTTCATTCTAGGATATCTAAGCACTGAACTGCCCTTATCTGTGTCTGTCTGTCTGCCTCCCTTTGTACTTACCTATCTGTCTTTCTGAGTTCTGTCTATTGGTTTTATCTGATGAGTTCTCCCTTGTTATGTTCCAATTCAGAAAGTCCCCCAAAAAACAACAAGGAGACAGGGTCCCGTTCGTAAAAGCAGAGAGCCTTTATTTTATGCAAGTCTGCAAACTCGGTCTCTCTGCATGTCCAACGTATTGGAATAAACGGAGAGCCCCGAGC